CTTCTTTACGAATGTCCATTTCTATCTTGGTTACGAACCTTATCTATATTGTACAATGAACTAATAATATAATATTTTGCGCGACTACGTCACACTATATTATCTTCAATGTCAACAACAAGACAAATTACAATATCATACATAAGAATATATGCAGAAAATGTTGACTAAACATGATTGGTTTATTCGAAACAGAATAATTTCAAAACAATGCTTTCAGTATACAAACCTTTAGTTCACACACACTCAGTCTACTTAATTGCGTCGTGTTATTTCTCATAATTTTCGCCTATTGTTTGCTACTACCGAATCAAACTCAACAACTACCGATTTTCGGTTGAATTCTAGCATTAGACATAAAAAAACTCTATACAGGTGATCAATCAAAATAAAATTAAAATATCATAGTTGATCAAACAAAATAACATGCTCAATTTCCAAAAAAAGTAAAAACAGTAAAATAATCAATCACTGTAATCATGATCACAAACGCAAGAAAAAACTACATAAATTAAACACATCTAATCTAAGATAAGCAAACATGTTTTCGGTTGTTTATGATATGGTACAAGAAAATTGAAAAACAAGCATCCATATACTGCATTCAAAATTTTCAAATCCCCAATACACCATCAAAATTAATGAACTGTACAATTACATGTTACAACAGAGAAAAGAAAGGAAGAACACGTGAACTCCAGGAATTAAAAAAAAAAATGCATCTCACATATATTTTAAGTCCAGTCCTTAACTCACTATATAGCAAAACTGTAGTCATTCATACTGCAATTAAGAATGAAGAAAGGCTATAAACACAATCTACAACACGATCAAGTAATACAGATTACGCTTTGCCCTTCCTCTTTTCGTCCAAAGCCTGTTATAGATTGGAAACCCATTAAACGGCGTTACTCAGACGTAATAAAGCTTATGATGACATATGGAAAAACCAAGGGCATGCATCAGTAAATTTTGTTTTCTTTGCTTAACATATTGAACTATAAATTATAATAATGTTCCC